CAAACTCAATTCTTTTCTCAACCTCAACCGCAAACTAACTTTCAAATCTCAACCATGCCGCCTACTCGACGAGTCAACCGGTTCTTCTGATGAATGCCCCATTGAAGATCCCGTTCAAGAATCAATTCAAAAGGCCGAAGTGGAACCACTAGCACAAACAAAAAAAAAACAAAAAAGGAAAGGGAGGGCTCCATGTAGAGATTGGACGGATGATGAAGAGAGGGCATCGGCTCAATCATTGCTAGATGTGTCAGAGGACCCGATCCACGGGAATGACCAAGACTCAACAACCTGCAAACAAAAGGTTTGGAATAACTTTTGCAACCGCTTAAATAAGTACTGCAACCCCGAGTCACTATACTCGAAGTAGAGGACCGCCAACCGAGCCGCAATGGAGTTCAACGGCATATACATGAAGGCGATGAAAAACCCCCCAAAGCGGTGCAACTGAGGTGGATGTCATGGCTAAAGTTCGAAAGATTTACAAGGCGAAAGTCGGAAAAGCTTTTGTCAATGAGTCGTTTTGGGAAGTTGTGAAGGGCAATCAAAAATGGCTAGATCTAAAAGGTCCTGACGATTACGCGAGGATGTCTAAACGAACCAAAACTTCGGAGTCAACCCACAGTCAATCTTCTGATGCGCGTATCGGAGGGATTGACCTCAACAACGACTATCCTTATGAAGTTCCAACTCGTCCTATGGCACAAGACAAAGCAAAAAGAAAACTAAAAGGAACACAAAGTTCGTCGACTGACATGGAGGAGATAAGGAAAGACATAAAAGGGTCGAACGATAAGATTGACGGCTTTTTGGAATTGGGAAAGATGAAGAAAGAAATCGTGCGATGAAAGAAAAGAATTGTGCGTTAACGCTTTTTCTTAACCCTGGGAGACAACTTGTCCGAGGAGGATCGTCGGATTTTTAACAATGCAAAGAATGATTTTGTTAAAAAAATACAATTGGGATTAGCCGTAGTACTTTTATGTTTTAGATGCAGTATTAAGTCGTGTTTTATTGTTGTATTTAGGAAGTAAGTCTTAATCGTATTTTTATGTTTTAATCGTATTTTATATTAAAAATTAATGTAACTCTTTTTATTTAATTTTAAATGCATTGTGTGTTTTATTTATAAAAAAACAAGATTTGACAATAGAACGGAATATTTAAATATGTAAAAATCAATGTTAACATTTAAATATGCAATTTATTTAGTTTAGGTAGAAGTTGGTGGAGGAGTAATGAAAGATAATGTAAGTAGAAGTTGGTGGAAATGTAATGAAAGATGGGTATATATATATATATATATATATATATATATATATATATTGTATTCCAAATACCACCATATTCTCAAATCTTCAAAACAAAAAGTATCATTCCTTCAAAAAAGAATGTCTTCGTCTTCGTCTTCGTCGTCTTCATCCAACGGTGTTTTTTATAGTGTAGTACAGTCGGTCTTCTCTATACGTAATATGCTAGAACAACATTGAATCAAGCAATGCGCAACGTAAACGAAGAAGACATATCCAAAGACAGCGTGAAGCTGCCCACCAACGTCTCATGCACGATTATTTTGACGAGAATGCTTTGTTTGAAGGATATTATTTCCGTCGACGGTTCAGGATGCATAAAGATTTATTTATGCATATTGTAGAAGGTGTGTCTTCAGTTTCTGAGTATATGAGGCAACGCCCGAACGCAAGAGGTACGTTAGGCTTTGATCCAATTCAAAAATGTACTGCTGTATTTCGTATGTTAGCATATGTCACCCCCCCCCCCCCCCCCGATGCACTAGACGAGAGTTTTAAGATGTCCGCACGTACCACCCGAGAAAGTCTTCACGAATTTTGCATAACTATTATGTCTTTGTATGGTCCACGATATTTGCGTCGTCCTACTGCTAGTGACATACAAAAGTTGTATGTTCATCATGGAAATGTACATGGTTTACCTGGGATGTTAGGAAGTTTAGATTGCATGCATTGGAATTGGAGTATGTGTCCTAATGCATATCATGGACAGTACACAAAGGGCAATTATCATTATCCTACTGTCATACTTGAAGTTGTAGCCTCAGAGGATTTATGGATCTGGCATGCCTTTTTCGGTAGTGCCGGTTCGCTTAATGATATAAATATTCTCAATAACTCGCCAATATTCAACAAGGTGTATGACGGTACTGCCCCAGATTCGTCATTTGTACTCAGAGGAACGGAATACAAATTTGGGTACTATCTTGTGGAGGAGATCTATCCTGAGCTTTCTGTTTTCGTTAAAAGTTTGTCATGTCCGGATGACCCTCAAAGGTCTGAATTTAAAAGAGTCCAAGAAAAAGCAAGAAAAGATATCAAACGAGCATTTGGAGCACTTAAAAAGCATTGGCAGATAGTTGCAAAAGCATCAATGTTTCATGATACTTCTATTATGACAGAGGTGATGTATACATGTATCATATTGCATAATATAATAATAGAACATGAAGGAAACGCGATGTGTGTACGACGAAAATGAAGTCATCCCAGAGGCACAACCACTAGAATATGGTGGTCAGGAATGGATACAAAGAATGAGGATAATTCACAGTGCAGTAATCGATACCGATCTTCGCCGCCATTTGACCGATCATTTTTAGACGATGGACAATCTTGATCTAAATATACCACCGGAAGACAAATTTGAAGGCAAGTATTCGGAGGAAGACTCGTTGTTTTAGTGTGTTTTTTTATGAAGTGTGTTTTAGTTATGAAGTATGTTTTTATGTAGTAACTAGTAAGTCACGTTTTTAGGTTCATGTATGTTGGTGTTAAGTCGTGTTTGGCGTGGTTTGAATTATTAAATTGTGTTTTAGTTATGAAGTGTGTTTTTATGTAGTAAAACACGTTTTTAGGTCCGTGTCTGTCAGTGTTAAGTCATGTTTAGCATGGTTTAATTTATTAAATCGTGTTTTACTTATGAAGTGTGTTTTTATGTAGTAAGTCGCGTTTCTAGGTTCGTATACGTCGGTGTTAAGTCATGTTTAGCGTGGTCTGAATTATTAAACCGTGTTTTTAGGTACTTTATGTTGTAATTTATTGTAACTTTTTTAATTTTAATATGAAATGTTTGTGTTTTAAAAAAAATATACTTGATATTATATTAATTTTTTGTGGTTCAAAAAAATAAAATTTGTTAAATATTTATGCACAAAAAATGTTTCTATATTAAATAAAGTAATTTAATTAAACTAGAAAACAAAAATCAAAAAAAAAATACAATGCTAGGAGTGTCACTCCTTACCAAATAATAAGATTATGTATTAAATGGTTAAAAATAAGGTGCACTCCAAAATCTGACGTTGCAAAGTGTTAGAGCATCTCTAGCCCACTTTCATTTTCCATTATTTCCCCCATTTCTTTCCCCATTTTTTTCCTCATTCCTCTCCAACCTTACCCTATTTCTTCCCCTATTTTGGGGGAAATGAATAGTATAACACCATATTTGATGTTATACTATTCATTTCCCCAAAAATGGGGATGAACTTTGAGTTGTCGATTTTAGTCATTTTTTTATATATTTATACATTTCAGGTTTTTTTTATCTACAAATTATAATTTAAATGTAATATTTAATACTTATAATAGTGTTATATATAAAATTATATTAATTAATTATAAATATAAAGTTTTTTTTTGTTTATCAATTTCATATTAAAATTTAAATACATATTGAAATTTTAAAACACGATAACGTATTTTAGAAAAGCTTATAATTAAATGTTATAAATATAATCTTATTTATTTAATATTATTGTAATGAAAAAATATAGATTATATATTTATTAAAACCAAATTAATAGAATGGGTGTGTTTGACAATTTATATAAGTTAGAAGAATAAAACATACTTTTTGGGGGTAAAAATAAGATAAAAAATGGAGTAAGATTGGAAATGAAACACTATTTACCCCATTTTTTACTTCATCTTTTAGGAAAAAATAAAAATGAATTGGAGATGGTCTTAGAAGTGTTATCACTCTCTTTAACCTTACCAAACCTACTCGTAGGCACTAACCGTAATGTTTGTGCTGATACACCCACCGGACTATTAACTAAATATTCTTACACATAAATAAAAAAAAAAAAAAAAAAAAAAAAAAAAAAAAAACCGGCCTAAAAGCTAAATAGACTTGCAAACAAAAACAATCAGAAGTGGTTTAAAAAGGCCCAAAATGTAAACCCAATATCCAAGGCGCACCCACGATAGTCTCCTGAGTCTTAACAACCAACTATGAACTAACTCTACCAATTACGATCTGCATCATTGCATGATATGACTTTGGCCATATTATTATTAACTTCTCTATAAGGATATGCATCATTGCATGATAAGCTTTTTTTTTTTTTTGTATGATTCAATCGGACATTAGACAGTTAAATTTATTTTATTTTCATTAACAGCGTAAAAAATTTAAGCAACTTGTATATCTAAAAGATGCTAAAAATATCTTATTTACTTTTTAACAGGTTGTTTTTTTCATTTATTTTTAGATTATATCTGTAACTTAATTAAATTAAACACATCTTGATATATTTGACATTTTGTAACAATAACACATACAAACATAAGCATTGAGACATTTCATTCATCTCATTTTTCAAACTATCTAAACAGTTTTGATTCAAACTCAGCCTACTTTACGTTCAAACACCATTTTCAAATTCCAGCATTAAAAAAAAACGTTATACCACCTCTAAAAGGACATTACTTCAAGATTAAGCTATATAAAAAAATAGATAAAAAAAAAAAAAAAGAGGAAGATATTACTACATGTCACATGTGGTCATGGTTATTGGTTCATGAGCAATGATTGAGTTCATCCAAGCCAAACCACACATTCATGCTAAATTCTATCATCAACAGATTCCTCATATCTTAACCTATCTCATACACACCAACAATGTCTATTAATATAAACTATACTATACCTAACATAATTTCTTAAACAACAAATATCAATCAAATATGAATTCTTCTAAAACAACTAATCTTTTCATATTACTTAATCTAACTATTTTCACATGTGTCTCATCCACCAACCCACCATGCCCTCCAACATCTCTCCCTAAACCACCAACCAGTAGCAAGTGCCCTAAAGACACCCTAAAATTTGGTGTCTGTGGTGACTGGCTAGGGCTAGTTCATGAAGTCATTGGAGCTCAACCAGATAGTGAATGTTGCACATTGATTAAAGGTCTAGCTGACCTTGAAGCAGCATTGTGTTTATGCACAGCAATTAAGGCTAATGTGCTTGGTGTCCTTAAGGTTAATGTCCCTATTGCTCTTAGTTTGGTGCTCAATTCTTGTGGAAAGAAGGTTCCGGAAGGGTTTAAGTGTGAATGACATTTTTTTTAGTTTTAGTTCCTTGTCAACTGTCAAGTGTGTATTTGTTTGGATAATAATCAAGCAATTGTTTTAATATTGATTTAGAATTGATATTTTTTGTATCCCAAATAGAAAATAGAAAATTTTAAAAAAAAAAGGTGATGAAGGACCTGTGCTCATTGAGGTCTTAATAGAATGAAGACGCGATGATGGCCGATTCTGCTCTCACTTATGCGACCAAGGTGACGAAGGACCTGCACATTATGTAGATACAATGTATAATTTTGATTTTATTCTATATATTATTTAAAGTTTATAATTAATGAACTTTTGTTTACAAAAAAGGAAAAAAGTAAACATGATAGAAGCTCATCAAAACCAAATAACTTATAATAAATAATTTGTTCAGCTAATTTCGAAATATAAAATTTGAGTTTTAGACTATGTTTGATGGGCTAGTTGATAGTTGAAAAGCTAGTTGCTAGCTGATCAGCTAGCTAATAAAAATGACGTTTGAAAAGTCATTTTTATTTTTCGTTTGATAGTTGAAAAGCTAGCTGCTAACTGATAGACCGGGCTGAAATATGTAAAACGACATAAAAGGGTATGTTGAAGATTGAGTTTTTTTTTATAATTTATAAAGGGTATATTTGGAAAATAAAAACTCAACAAGCTCATTGAAACGCTAGTCTAAGTAACCTTTTAAAAAGCTAGCTTATAAGCTACTTTTTGGTTTGCCAAACATTATTTATTAAAAGCCAATGGTATTATCGACCAAAGGAAAAATAAAATAAATAACAAAAACTCACGGTTAATATTGCTTTTCCAGTAATATCAAGCTTCAATGAAGGTCCTTTAACATCAGTTTCCAAAAAGAAGTGTTTTCCCTTCACTCCTTCCGCCATTCCAATCTCTCTAATTTCCTGCAAGAATACAAAGGAGGGGTATAAGCGTAATTAAGCTAAAATCCATTACATGTCAAACTATCAACTTTATATGCTCTAACAATGTAATAACATCATTAAGTTGAAAAAGATCACTCACCAGAGCTTTCTCTATGGTGCTTTCAGTCAGCTTCAAAAAGAAGGAAAATTATTTAATTAGTAATTGTGAAATTTGTGTTATAATTTAAGACCAAAAATGTAAAGAAACATGTTTCTGAAACCTTCTTTCTTGGGGCTGTTATAAGTTGGGAGTTTGCCTCAGCATAAACAGCCATGTCATTAATGGCTGCATTGATCTTATCAAGTGTTAGCCTTCCTCTCATATACCTGCAAATGCATTTTACAATTTTAATTAAAATATGGCCCACAGGGTTGCAGTATGAAACTTCACACAGGATGATTGAAATTGAACTTACGATGACAAAGAGTCTAGTTCATTAGCAGTAATGTACCACAAAGGTGGGGACCCACGACCCTTTTTCTCCTATAATGTGAATAAAATGTTGTCAATGTTAGTCAGATTATAAATTATAAATTTATAACAAAGAAGTAAATTACAATTTTGGTCCCTGTGTATAGCTGATTTTTGCAATTTTGGTCCTTATTTGAGGTTTCGGTGATGTTTTTTGTTGTTGTTCCAAATAAAGCGACTATATTTTTGGGGACCAATATTGCAAAAATCAGCTATATAGAACCTCAAATAAGGACCAAAACTACAAGAGAAAACTATTGAGGATCAAAGTTGTAAAAACCAGTTATACTCAGGGACCAAAAATGTAATTAACTCTGCAATAAATGTCTTATATTTTGGTATGACAAGGTCATAGATAATAAAATATACAGGAGGGAAAGGGTTTCTTACTTTGATTAATGGTGCAGGATCCTCTTTGGGCTCTTGAATCCCAAAAGAATAATCTTGTTTTATAGGTTCCTCTACTGTGGAACTGGAACAAAATGTGAGCAAAATTAGGACTTCTAGTGCTGGATTCATACCAAAGAAAGCTGTGAACAATATTCTATGCAAGATAGACGAATAGATTAAGTCACCATGTGGTATTATCATGATGCATAACTTTTCCCCTTTCGGGCATATATGATGGCGCATACACAGACATACTCTGCAACTTCTGCTGCTGTTGTAGAGATGCTTTAATCAGCTTCTGCATACAGAACAAGAAGCATGAGTCAGTTTTAAAAGGATTGTAGTTAAGTAGGTCAACTTATACTGTTAGTGTTCCCAATACTTCTAAAAGACTAAAGCTATTTAGTACAGTGAAAGTTTTGTTAGTAATCACAAGAATTTGAATATGCATAACGAGTTATCTTATGGTTACATTCTGAAAACAGATTTTTAAAGCTATCATCACCCCTCCAATGTATCATTTGCTTCAATCAAACTAGTTAAGAGTTCAATGTTTTCAGTTCTTGGTATTAAATTCTTTCATATATCTTGTTATTCTTGTTTTGTTGTGGTTAGGTTGGACTTCTAGCCTTGAATTCAAAATATTATTTATGAACTTCTTATGTTACCTATGCATGTTTATTTACAAATTACATGGGTTAATCACTTAATTGGTTCGAATCCTACAGAGTACCCCAAAGAAACACAGGTTTCATCAAGTCGGTGGTTAACACCAACGCATAGGCAAAAATCTATACTCAAGAGGCATAGAACTGTTTTACTTTTGGATGAGCATTAAAACGAAAATGAATGAAAATCCCCTAATATCACATACAAAAATCCTTTTAAGCAACATAAACTAGGGCTGCAGCCGAGCCAAACTTACTTTAGCTTTCGGAATGGCTAGGGTTTCTTCGCGCAAGCGATCTTTGATCTGCTGTAATTGATGTTCCATGGCCTTCAGAGTTGTGTCAACTGCTGACAAATCGGTGATGCTGCTCGCAGGATACACTAACCAAACAGAGTAAAAACAACGTGAGAGCTGAAATTGAACGACGATTAAGAGCTTAAAAACGAAATTTTCCAGAATTTAGCTAGATCCAGTTTCTAAATACATAACTAAGCATACATACAATTTTTGTGGTGGATTGGAAGGAGTTTTGAGGTTTTACACAAACCGTGACTCCCATTGGGGAACCTTTTGTAGTTGAAGTGGACTTACTGTTACGGGCAACGACGAGATCTTGGAGCTCTGCAATGCGAGTGTTGAAGGATGAAACTAAAGAGTCCAGTGATAAGCCTGCTTGCTTGACATCCATGGCGATCTCTCCCCCTCTCTCTCTCACACACACACACATGTAGAAATGGCGGGAATATAAGTTCAGGTTTTTGGATGATTGATGATTATTTCGATGTCGCTCTCGGGCTGGGGCGTTTTTGGTAAAATCAATAATGGCTTTTTTTTTCTAAAATTTTCTACAAAAAAGTCAAGAAAATAAAAAATGTTGAGTTGACTGTGACAATCTTACAACTTAAGGCCCGGTTCAGTTTCTACTTTCTAGTATATATAAACCATCTTTTTTTTCTTTTCTCATTTTAACACAGCTTTTCCGCTAGTGTATATAATTTCTCTTTAAAAATGATGGTTGTAAACAACGACGATCTACCCGTATGGGTTAGTTATTTATCCCAATCTATGTATTTTATGTTTATAACCCGAAATTAGAACCTGTAACAATTAGTGATCGATTTCTGCAGTCCTTGAAAGGTTTTAACAGACTGATACCTACGAAAATGTAGATTCTCAAATCGTGGTCTGTGAAAATATAAATTTCCGCATGTCTTGAATATTATCGAACTATCAAATTGAATTTGGGCTTACCATGACACCCATGAAACAAATATTGTTGGCCTTGTTTAAACTTTAAAGTCTTATAGAGAGTTAGAGACGTAGAGTCTGTCTACCCAAAATGTTGGCCTCGTTATGCTTAATATTTGTACATCTGGATTCCGGAGGAGGGTTTAGCATGTTTTTTGGCTAATAAATTATAATAATTTTTGAATAAAAAACTAATATGTATACTTATATTTTACCACTAGGTTACGACCCGTGGGAATCATGGGTAAAAAAAATATAAAATTTTACTACATTTTGTTATAATATCCTGTGTGCTACATGGTTCTACAAATTAAAAAGAAAAGTAATTAAAAAATGAGTTACATAAAAATTTCTAATTTGATATTTTTGAATTCGATCTTACTAAATGAGCAAAAACAAAACGGATTCTATCAATCGAAAAGCCTATTTTCCTTCGATTAAACCAACGTTTATTTTCATAAAGATCATTTGCACCTTTAGTGATTTGTGGTTAATAACTTCCTTGTGTTTTTTGTTATCTTTTTGATCTCATATAACGGAGTAAAAATTAGTGAGTTAAGATTAAACCGAAAGATCATGGGTAAATATTATTCTCATATAAAAAAGTATAATTTTACGGAAAAGCAATTCAGAAAGCTTAACTCATGGCTAGATATTCTTAGAACCCAAGCTTGAATGAAAGAAATTCATACTATCACATGTCATGTTATCTTTTAATCTCACATCAAATTGACATCTTATGTTAATTAAATAGGATACTGTTAGAGTTCATTTTTTTTTAATACCCATACAAAAACCAACATTAATGATAGATAGTTTTCCTTTTGAAGTTATTTTGTCATCTTTGGGTAAAAAAAATCTATTTATTATATATTCTTATTACCAAATAATAAATAGGTGATAAAAATACAAATATAAAACATTGAAAAATAGCAATGACAATAATTTGGCAAGAGAACAATGATATCATAATTTCACTCCCTTATCTAATGCATTCAGTGAGTTCAAAGAGAACTTAAAGAAGAAAACAAATATATATATAGGGAAGGTTATTTGGAAAACAAAAAAAACCCTAAAAACCCTTAAAAATCATAAAAATGCATAAAAAAATACCTAGAGATCACAAAACTTTTTTTGACATTTTTTATGAAAAAATCGCAGGTTTTTAAAGAAATTCGCTGAAATAAAATTCGAAAAAAAAATTATAAAAAAAACAAAAAAAATTGATTTTTTATTTTTTTTTCAACGAATTTTAATAAAAAGCTGCGATTTTTTATAAAAAAAAAAATTTGTG